CTGCCAAGTATGACGACCTGAGTTCAAATCCTGGGAAGCACAAAAGGAGAGAACCAACTCCTGCAACCTGTCCTCTGATGCTCACATGTGTGCCCAGAGAGAGAGAGAGAGAGAGAGAGAGAGAGAGAGAGAGAGAGAGAGAGAGAGAGAGAGAGAGAATAGAAAATCCTGGAATTTTCCTGAAAGAACTGCTATGAGAATTTTAGTCACAATGAACACAAACTTCCACAGAGGAGGAGATGGCTCTGCCAGTGAGGCCCAGAGCTGCTGGAAGAGAGGACAGTACAATATCAAATCCTTTTGCAAGTGTCTTGCTCCACTTGGAAAAATGGCCTGACCTTGGCAGTGGCATGGAGGTCTCAGAACAGGACATGTTCTGCAATCCTGTGGCTCTGAGCCCGTTCCAGAGACTCAGCAACATTTCACTTTCCTACAGCATCGGTAGAATTGTCCCTTATGCCAAACATCCATCACTGGCCTTGTGTTCCAGCAAGGCGACCTGGGTCATGGCGGACCACCAAGGGCTTGCTCAAAGGGCTGCCGTCAGTCTGACCATCAGCCAGCCTTGGGAAGGGAGGCATATTTGAGGGCCACTTCAAAATGCATCTTGCTGAAGACAGACAGCTCTTTCTGGAGTCGACTTGGCAATAACTAACATTGGCCATTAGCAAGTTCATGACCCTTGACAACTGGCTTCACTGCTAAGAAATTATCTTAAGAGAATAAATTTATATCCCAAGACATCTGCATTTTAGTATTGCTTACAACTTTAAAAATATTGAAATTCCATAAGTAATGACTACATTATGGTTACACTATAGAAATGTTATTGATGGAATAAAATGCCCTGCAAAGACCTGGAAATGCCACAGTTCTAAAGTTACAGGGAGATGTACACTCATGACTTCATAAGGAAATCCAAGAGGATTTAAAAGGACTAACAGACACATAATTAAATGTAAACAGACTTCTGAGCTAATGGGATTACAGGTAATTTTAAAATATTTTATTTTTAATTATGTATATATGTGTGTGTAAACATGGGTTTGTGCATGTGAGCGCAGTGCTCGTGGAGACCAGCAGAGAATGTTAGATACCTTGACACTGGAGGAGTTACAGGCAGCTGTGAGCTATCTGATGGGTGCTGGGAACCAAACCTGGGTCGTCTGCAAAAGCAGTATGTCCTTTCAACCTCTAAGCCATCTCTCTGGCCCCTGTGGATGACTTTTTATGCTTTTATACATAGTCCTAAGTTTTCCAATGAATACATATACCACTTACATTCCCTAAAAGAATATAGTTTTAAGCGTTGTTTCATTCATGTACTGGCTTGAAGTCATCGTCATCATTCCTAGGGAATCATCTTCTAAGGTGACTCTACCCTCTCTGAAATCAGCTGTCAATTTGACATAACCCAGAGTAACTTAGGAATTGCCTAGATCAGACTGGCCTGTGGCCATACCCATGGGACATTTTCTTAACTGATGTAGGAGGGCCCAGCCCACTGTAGGCAGTACCATCCCCTAAGCAGGTGGACCTGGGTTAGATAAGAAAGGTAGCTGAGAGGCCGGGCAGTGGTGGCGCACGCCTTTAATCCCAGCACTCGGTAGGCAGAGCCAGGCGGATCTCTGTGAGTTTGAGGCCAGCCTGGGCTACCAAGTGAGTTCCAGGAAAGGCGCAAAGCTACACAGAGAAACCCTGTCTCGAAAAACCA